GAAAGCCACTGACAAAGTGTTGAATGTTTGTGCCACTTTATTATTGCCATTAAATGTAGTGCTCCTGGGCCACAAGGGCTGCCCTGCCCCGCCTCCCCTGCCCTCCCCTGCCCACCCCTTTTGTGTCAGTTGTCTTTACGAGTCTGCTGGGGGCGCATATGCATAAAGCTGCGCCACTTTTCTCCCATAAACTTGTCAGGCAATGTCATAAAATCGAACCGAACCCTCATCCCTTGACCAGCAAATCGAAGACCATGCCAGCCATCGTCCCTGTGGTTAGTCCCGTTTGGGGAGCGCCACGAAATATTGTTGTAATATTTGCAAAAATTATTTGCCGGACAGCGGAAATCGATTGCTGGGGTTTGGAAGTGATTTTCTGCTACACTGAGGAAAAGTTTGAGTCACAGAAATATGGAAATAAAAGTGGAACGGAATGGGAGAGATCTGGGGATGATTTTTGCTGGATTTTTGCCAAAAAAAAATGACCTTTTCTATTATGGAAAACATTTCGGGATAATTTTTTCGGGATTAAAAAAATATTATATCCTTTTAAACCCAATTAAAGCCTGAAATTAGTTACAAATATTACTTTTTCCAAGACTATTTAATACTCTAAAATTCCCTGAATATTTCCAGATTAAAGAGAACCTATTTTATCAGTGAATTCCTTGAGAATATTCCCGAATCCAGACCATTTATGGTACTACTTTGCAAGACTCCAACGACACTCCCACCTACAAGTCCCAGTCCTTTCTCGCAGTGCCTCAGACCCCAAACCGAAATTGATACGAACTTTGACCTAGGTGGCTGCTTGCCCTTCCTCCGCCCCCCGCTGCACTTACCTTAATGCCCAGATCTGATTGGAATATGGTCCAAAGGAATTGGGTTTTATGGCAGGCTCAGCTTTTATTTATTTACAAGCTGAATTTTTGGCCACTCTGCTCTCCAGGGTCACATCTTGTGCCCCAACCCACCCACCCACCAACGCCCCGTCGGAGTTCCGCTAATAAAGCCTTCTCGTGCCGCTGGCGATTCCTCTTATTCGCCGGGACATGGCTTAATTTGTTAGACGTTATCGCTTCCGCTTAAAGCCAACTACCGACGACTGCAACAAAATGCATTTGCCGGCGAGTGGCAACTGCAACTGCAACTGCAAACAGGCTCGGCAGCGGCAGCGGCAGCAGCAACTTGTTTGTGCAGTGGCTGGTGGCAGGGGCAGGGGCAGGGACTGGGGGCACGGTCACGTGCAGCGTGCAATAAGCGAAACATATTCGCATGTTGTCCGATCGGCCCCGGACGCGTTATCGATACTCGCGTGGCCTTGGCGGCTTCTAGGGGGAAAAAACACTGATATCGATGTGTACATCGAAGTATTCGAAGGATGCATTTGTAGACATAGATTCGTACTTACATGTGTATGGAATATGTGAGCTATAGAGAGGGCAACGGCTACGTTAGTGGATGGGAGAGTGGGGTGAGGGAGAAGACAGGGTTACCGATTCTTTTGGGCGAGATGGATATGCTTCGGCTCATCAATACCCAAGCACCCCGATACGATGGAAGCCCTGGGATGCCCTGGGATGCCCTGGGATGGCCTGGGATGTCCTGGGATGCCCTGGAATGCCCTGGGATGCCCTAGGAGGCCCTGGAATGACCTGGGATGGCCTGGGATACCCTGGAATGTCCTGAGATGCCCTGGGATACCCTGGGATGCCCCGGGATGCCCTGGTATGCCCTAGGATGGCCTGGGATGCCCTGGGATGCCCTGGAAGACCCTGGGATGCCCTGGGATGCCCTGGGATGCCCTGGGATGTCCTGGAAGACCCTGGGATACCCTGGGATGCCCTGGGATGTCTTGGAAGACCCTGGGATACCCTGGGATGCACTGGGATGCCCTGGGATACTCTGGGATACCCTGGGATACCCTGGGATGCCCTGGGATGTCCTGGAAGACCCTGGGATTCCCTGGGATGACCTGGGATCAAGCACCAGGCGCTCATCTGGTAGTGTGCGAATGATCAGACCTGGACAGTCACGGAGAACTTTGATGGTGATGATGTGCCCTCCAGTGGATGCCTCGCCAGTGGAGCCTTACGATCAGTCCACTTACCAGCTGTTCGCTACTTCTTTTCCAGATTTTCATAGCCCCTAATCAAGAAACTGTATGGATTCTCTTAAGGATCCATATTTCTTTAGCCAGCCTTTCAGGTGATCCAAATTGGAGGCCACAATCGGCAACCATCTTGAAGAGACCTCAACCAGGCCTCAAGCCGTCTACTCTTCGACAGCCACAACACAGAGGGAGAGGGAGAGAGAGAGAGAGACAAGAGCAGCAGCAAGGACAACATGAATAATCCATTTTTCGAAACACTTGTCCCCCAGTCGCCAGTCGCCAGACCCCCAGCTCCCTCGACGATCATAGATATAAAGACAGACTGTCTGTCTGTCTGTCTGTCCTGTGCCTCCCTCCATCGTAGGTGTTGTCTAGATCTTGGCCACGCATACAGGCAGCGGGAGCCAGAGCCCGAAGCAGGAGCTGCAGCTGGAGCTGGAGCTGGAAGTCAAGGCTGGCAGCGACACCAGAGCCGAGATTAAAGATTCCTCCATAAACAAACAAGCGAAATAATTGAGGCAAAATTGAAGCAAACTACCCGAACTGTTGCTGGCCACAGAATGCATGAGTGGCGAGTGGGGAGTGGGGGAGTGGGGAGGGGGATTGGGGGGACTGGAAACCAGTTGGAATACTCGGTGCAACAATTAGCACGGAATTTGTGGGTGCCATAAAACGCGCTACACGATGGTCGCATGTTCTCTGGGCCTTGCAGCCCGTTTTCATATCAATAAAACCCGCGATTCTATGGGGAGCCTTTCGCGTCGAACGGTACTCGCACCTGGAGAGAGAGAGGGTCGCCTCTCCTGGCGCCACTCTCGGCACCCAATTAGACACACTTCAAAGTCCTCCACGGTATGCCTCGCCTCGCCTCACCTCGCCTCGCTCTTGGTGGCCATCAAACGAATGCATATTCCACTCCACTCATAATTCCCCCCCTCCCCCCCCCAGGACGTGGGGTTGGGAGCTGCTGCTGGGTTGCTTGGGTTATTATTCATAGACCGTTTTTCGGCCGACGCGTCGCAGCAGCAGACGAAACTTAATTACTCGAATAGATCAAACAAATTGCACGCAAAATAAATATAATGCAGCACCCGGCCAGATACAGCCCGAAATGAGGTTATTAAGTTGCCCCAAAAGGCAGACGGCTGCCAACTGTTTTGGTGGGGGAATTATGATCATGAAAATTATCGTGTCTGTGCGGGATTGTGATCTTGAAAATCCCCATCCAGCCCGCCCCAGACACGGCACAATTTCTCATCGCTCATTTTCGAGGCGGCAGGAGGCCGGCTCCAGTCGTGGGGCTGTTAATAGTTTGCCTGTTTGCCCCTGTTTACGGCCGGAGGGAGCACGAAATGAGCTAAATTTCTTGGGAAAAGTGCAACATTGTGGAAAATGGAAAATGCCAAATGGAATCACCAACAATGCCGCATTCTGCAGGGGGGCGGGGAGGCCATGTTTCGAGGTGTTTATGGAGGAGTTCAGGGAAGGAAAGACGAGGCAGTCAGGGTAGTTCTCGAGGTAAGTTTAATGCCTATTTTCCTCGCATATTGGTCTAACAGCTATCTTTCTTGCAGCTTTTGGATCGGTTAACGCGGCAAGCGTCATGCGGCAGTGCCCCTCGGTCGGTTCGGCGGGAGGATGGCTGGGTTGCGCGCGTAATAGCCTTCTACTGATGTCAGAAAGATGCATTTCCAACCCACACCAAGAAGGGAAGCCATGGGAACATGGGAACAAATCTCCGAAATCCTGGTAGGAAAAGGTATACCTTCTTTTTCGACTGTGACTTCCTTGAACTCAACTTTTACTTGTGATCTCCCTTTCAGAATCTAAGAAGACCCCTGGCCGCACCAGAGATGGATCTCCTCGGACACCAGGACTCCACTCTACTGCCCCTCGCTGATCCCAGGAAGGCACTACTTACATGGCAGCCATGGGGAGCCTTCCACTTGCCCCTCGCTCTACGAGAAGTTTGGCTCCTCTATTGTCTGGCTGTGGCAGGGCTTGTCATATTCAGCAAACATTTATAATTTGCGGCGACATCTCAAGTTGTTGCGGTCTAGAAATTATTATTTGTTGAGCGAAAGACGAGAAAGACGACTGCCAAAAACGACAAGGGAATAATTAAAAAGTTTTCCCAAAAGCGAGGCACCGAAAATTCGTCTGGCAGGCCACAAAAGAAAACATCTGCTGGCCACAGTAATGGGTGTGGGGTGGGGGGGAGGCCTTTGGGGCATGGGGATAGGGCGTTTCGCTTTAGGGCTGATGATGAATGGCCTGCGCGTGGCATGTGGCACGATCGAGACTCGCACTTACCCAGAGACCTGCCAATTTGCATGAATTTATTGAGGAGGACCGAACCCTTTAGGAATGCTGCCCACTTCCCGGAAGAGAAACGTCAGGCTGGTGGGATATGTGTATATTTTTCATTTTGCAATTTTGCACGCCGGCTTTATTTTTGATCATTTCTCTCGCGTTTCTCTCGATTTTGTCAATGTTTTTTTTATATGCAACTACCACAGTTTACATTACGTGTATTTATAGGTATATCTATATGCTTTAGTATACGTATATATATGTCTAGGTATAGCCATAAAATTAGTTAAGTTCCGACCTTTGAATCGCTCCGCTGCTCCAGGGGTGGGGGGCGGTGTGGGGGCGTGTGTGGGGGGTCTCCAGCTCCAGCCAAGTGCCTGACATTTTTACAACTTATCGACTAAACTTAATGCATTTAAATGCCTTGAAGATCGCTATCAATTATCGTATATAGACACAAAGGATATACTCGTATATATATATATATATATTGTGTGGGGGGGGGATGTGTGGGTGTGTGTGGGGGTGTGTCTGTGTCTGTGCTAGTTGAAGCTTAGCGTAGGGTTATGCTCAAGATATGTACTCCACAAAAAACCATGTGTGTTCCAACCAAGACCGAGCCTGCTGCTCGGCTACTTGTCCGCATCGCGGGACTCTGACTCATCGGGCTCCAGGGCACCACCGCCCGCCTCCGTCTCGCCATCGGCCTGATCCTCCTGCTCCTGTAGGTGGTTCTGGTGGTGCTCCATCTTGATGCGGCTTAGAGGATGCCAGATATTGCCGGCCAGCTCATCGTCGCGCAGCGAGGGGCTCTGTGCCGGCTCTGGAGTGGGGGACTTGCTGCTGCTGCCACGCTCCAGGGCGTAGGGATGCTGGCCCAGAAAGCCGGGAAAGCCCAAGAGGCCGGGGGGATAGGGATACTTGCCACCGTTGGCAAAGGGCGGCGGCGGTATGTTGGCAAAGGCGCCAGGACTCAGCTCGCCAGGCTATCAAAAGAGAGATAGAATAAGGATCTACAGTGGTACCCCCCCTGGAAGGCCACCCACACTCACCTTTGGCGGCAGTCCATTGAAAAAGGGCGGCAGGTAGGGAAAAAAGAGCTCTGGTCGTCGCTGCATAAACTCCTGCTCGGCCGTGGGTCCACCGTGTGCGGCCCCGGGACCCGGTCCAGGACGCATCGGCAGCTCCAGGGACATACGACGGCCCCGACGCGAAGTGGGATTCGTCCACATATGAGTGCCCATGTGAACCTGCAAGGGGGGGGCAGAGCGAGAGAGTCAGGAGAAGGGCCTCGACACTGGATAGGACCTGAGCCGCACCTTGAGATTTCCTTTGGTGGTGAAGGCCTTCTGGCAGACATTGCACTGGAAGGGCTTGTCGCCCGTGTGGGTGCGCATGTGGATCTGGAGGGCCGAGCTGGAGCTGAAGTTGCGCCGGCAGACGTGGCAGAAGTGCTTGTTGTTCACGGGCGGGTCCAGGCTGGAGGTCGGCGGCCCGGCGGACATCAGGGCCTGCTGGAAGTCCAGCGGACTGGCCGGGAACCGATGGGCATCTGTGCGAAAGGGACGTGGGGGGGGGACTCAGTAGGTTGGGTTCCTAGGGGTCCTGGGCTGTGGCTCTACTCACGCAACTGCATCTTCATCAGCGACTGTTCGGCATCGATGGCATCCTGGGGATAGCTGCCCGGTGCTCCGCCCTCGCCGGCCCCGGCCTCTTCGCCCAACAGCTGGTCCTGCTCGGGCTCCTCTTTGATGGGTGTCGCCTCCAGGGGCTGGGAGGCGACCACGGGGTCGCCCGACTGGGGCGGCGGCGGCACCGGCACTGGCACTGGCGGCGGCGGCTTCTTTGCAAACAGATTCGGATTGAGGGTGAGCTGCAATGAGAGAGATTTTCTAGATGGGACCCAGACTGGGAATCTGATGCTGAATCCCGATTCTTGGGCGCTAATTTCTGTGCATTTTCTGCTTAATGTGCCGTTAATGCAACAGAGTTGGGGCACCCAGACTCTCTCTTGCCTCTTAATAATCGTATTTTTAACCGAAAGCCAAACCAAAAACATAATTTACAATTTTTCTATGGCATCGCGTGTAATAATGCCAACTAATTATCTCGGGCAGACGTTGCCGCCGGGTCTCATATTTTTATGGCAAAACAATTGTTCTCGCAGCCGGCGGTTGACACTCGCCCGAGAGGGGGCTGGGGGGATGGGGGGACCCTGGGGCCCAGTGTGTGCCCCACAGACGCGACGAACAAAAGATTAAATAATTTTGCATAAAGCGTAGCATAATTTATTTGCTTTGAATGCATCGCACACACCGCCACCGATCCGGCACCAACCCCCCGCTCTCCCTCTCGCTCCCCCTCTCCCTCTCTGGGGGACTGTCACTAGCCGAGATCCTGCCCGATCCAGACCAGACCATGGCAGACACGACCACATCGTAAATTTCGCATCATCATAATGCATTCTCGTAATTACTTAAAATTTTTGAATCATTTAGAAATTTCAAGCCCAAAAGATGATGCCGATCCCCTAACCCGATCGTCTGCTCTAGATCATCAACAATGTGCTAAGCGAGCAAATCGGAACGTGGCTGGGGCCGAAGGAAGGGCGGTGGGGGGGGCCATATGATGGGCGAACAAGGGTCTGTCTGGGGCTGCCAAAACCAGGGACCCCAGGGGGGTGCGGGGCCGGGCTGATTACCAACTGAAAACGTTATGACATTTACACTGCAATTGCATTTCGAAGCCAGTCCAGGAGCGGTTCAAAGGGCCAGAAGGGGCACAAAAGTCCAGCTAGAAGGAAGTTTTTCCTCAAAAACAGACACCAAAAGCCCAAAGCTTTAATAAATTAAAGCATTTAGAGTCTTCCTTCTTTTCCCTTCCTTTCGTTGCCCTTCGGGTCTCTGCAGACTCCGCTCCTGTGCTCGGAAATTCACTCAGAAATTTTGGAAATACTCCAAGAATGTTCGCCATAATGAACGATGTCATTAGTCATAGAGCGAGAGACAATGCCGCAGTATGTGCCTGCCCCAGCCCCAGCCCCGACCCCAGCCAGAAATAAATATTAATACTCGCATTTGTACTTAAATGATGGCCAGGCAGAGTTGCAGAACCACAGCATAACCACTCCACACACTCGACATCTGTGGCGGGAAGCGAACGCACTTTAATAAATAATTGGCATTGTTGGGCGATGTAATCCAGGCACTTAAAGCTCTCCAGCGAGATGAACCGGCGGCTCCAATCCCGTCTCCAAGTTGGGCGAGTGCCGGCCACAAAGCGGAACGCCAACAATTAAGGCAAACTATGCAACTTGGCCACAATTTCTTCATAATAAGGCCGTACCCTCGCGCCTCCGTTCTAGAGCAATTAATAATGCGCTCATAATTTGTATGGTTCCAGCCATAACGGGGCATCGTCCAGGCCATATTGGGCGAAATCAACCCAAAACCGGGACCGAGTGAACCCGTGAACATTTTAATTAATCATGACCAAGGCAAGGCCCAGCCACCAGGAGCTGGAATCGAGCTGGGGATTAGACAGGGTAATGTGGTGACCCCATCTTGGGGCATGGAATGTCCCTCAAGAACAGAGGCGAGTGATTAGTGGCAGAGTAACGACGAGGTAGAGTGAGCAAGAGTGCGGATGGCTAATGAGTGGGCATACCAGGTGGAGGCTGGGAAGCAGACTGATCATTGATTCACTCTCAAGACACTCAAGACTGAATGAAGCGTTCGGGGAACAGGGTTTAGATGAATCAAAGGATCTGTATCACTCTCCCTACGAGTGTAAGAGTCTCTCATCAGTTTTCTGTAGTTTGTTTTCGCTTTCTTGGGACGGACTTTTGCTCTTCCACAAAGACTGTGTATATTTTTCGGATTGTTGGCTATTTCGAAGCGAAAAGTAAGTCTTGCTTGGCCCAGGACTGTGTATATTGTTGCTGGATTCTTGAACCGACTCAGCGGCCAAGGCTTTGACGACCAGACGAGGCCGAGTAGGCTGCCGGCTTGCGGTGAGAGGCGCAGAAGAGGGAATCGCGCCTCCATAGCCCAGCTTTTTGGTCCCTCTTGCCACATCTTGGCATTGCACAATCTTGATTAAGGTCTATCATTGGTTCCATAAACAGCTCCAGCAAAATAAATAAACATAGATAAATCGCCAGGGTAAATATAGAATGCTGATGAGCACAACTGTGGTTTCTCGATAAATAAAAACCATAAACAGAACAAAACTTAAATGATCGATGATCGAGGCAGTAACAAATCACGCCCCCAATGAATTTTCTAATAAATTAATCTCATTTCGATCTCCTACTGATCTTTGGCCCAATCATAAATCGATCAAATCCCCTACCCATAGCCATACCCATACCCATATATATATATTTGTAGCACTCACCTTGGCCCCGTAGGGCGATCCGGCGTCATTGCAGTGCGATCGGGTGTGGGTCTGCGGAGCCGTGACTTCTTTGGCATGTTCGCTCTGCAGATGGCTCTCCAGGGCGGCCAGGCTGGGCAGCATCTTGAAGCACAGATTGCACACATTCGGGGGCGGATGGAGGCCTATGCGGATAACAGACAAAGAGTTACTCGAGAGGTCACCGGGAGGAGGGGAGGAGGAGGGGGCAACGTCGAAACGGGAAAACGATCTGCGATATAATAAATATCCATCCGAGTAAAAGGTTGTGACATAATGAGGCGACAGATACGCGCGACGTCTCTCGATTCGGGAATGCGCCAATGTTTAAAAATAAATTTTTCGGAATTTGGCATAGGCATATCATCACAGACATGGAACGGGGGGACTGGGGGCACTGGGAAATGCTTTGTCTCGGTCCAATTGAGTTATGTCGCGGCGAGATCGCAGATTTATCGCGCTCCGACTACACTTGGCAAACGATCGCGAGGGTCAAAGGTGACAGACAAAGAGGCTTTGTCATCTTGGTATCCGCATCCACACCCAAATCAAGTACTTACCCATAAATCCTAGGGGGCCGAACGGCAGCAGGGGAAATTTGGCATGGGCCTGGCCCAGGGCGTGCATCTCCTCGCGGGCTGCCGCCATCAGCAGAAGATTCGGGGGCATGGGCATACCGAGCATGGGCAGACCAGCCCCAGCCCCAGCCCCAGCCCCAGCTGCAGCGCCTGCCACGCCGTTGAAGAGCCGCGCGGAGGCGGATGATGGCGAGGAGAGATCCATGGCGGGCATTTCTCCGCTCTCGCTGCGTCCCCCTCCAGTCATGTCCAGATCGGATCTAGAGCGTTCATCGGAGCCATCATTGGGGGGTCTCCGCTCCCGCTCCCGCTCCCTATCTCTGTCCCTCTCCCTATCCAAGGGCAGAGGCGTGGCCGTGGCGGCACTGGAGTTGTCCCTGGAATCGTCCGTGCTGTCCATGGTCATGAACTCATCAAAGTCCCCGCCCTGCGACGACTCCGACCGCTGTCCCGAGTGATCCGAGATGGTGGTGGAGAAGTCCAGGGTGTCCGAGGTGCCCAAGGACTTGTTCGAGTTCTGATCCTCGATGCCCAGACGCTCGGCATCGCCCTGGGGCGCAGCCGGCTGGCCACTGCCGTCGTCCATGGTGTGGATGCGGATATGCTGCTGCAGGATGATGCCGTTGGAGAACTTCTGGTGGCACACGGGGCACTTGAACTGGCTGCGCATCGGCGGCTTGATCTTGTGGATGCTCATGTGCGCCTTCAGGTTGCCCTTGGTGGCGAAGGCCCGGCCGCAGATCTTGCAGCGGAAGGGCCGCTCGCCGGTGTGGGTGCGGATGTGCATTTGCAGGGAGCTGCGGCAGGACATCACCTTCTGGCAGAAGATGCACTGGTTCGGGTCGGTCAGCTTGTTCTCGATGTTGTCCACCAGCTGCTGCAGCTTCGACGTCTCTGAGGTCTTGTCGATCTCGATCAGATCCTCCCACGACTTGTCGATGATGCGCTCCATCTGGGCGAGCGAGTACTCGCCGGGCGCCTCCCGGCTCGTCGAGGAGGAGCGTCGCACCAGCTTGGCGATGTGCATGTGCTCGGCCAGGTCGCGTTCCCGATCCCGCTCCCGATCCTCGCTGGGCGGACTGCCGGCGCTGCTCGCCTGCCGCTTCCGGACACTGCCGTTGCGGCGCGGTGGCACCACTGGCTTGGGGGCCTCCTTCTCGGGCTTTTCCGGCACGGGCTCGGGTCGGATGTCTGGTGTCACGACTTTGGGGGTCTTGGCCCGCTCCACGGGGGAGTGGGACTTTGCCTTTTCCTGCGGCTTCTCCTTCTCCTTCAGGTTCTCCTTTTCCTTTGGTCCTGGCTTGCTGAGATCCTCCGCTTGCTGGGGCTGCTGCTTCTGCTCCAAGCGGTTCTCCTCCATCTCCTCCAGCTGCTGCAGAGGACTCGGCTCCTGTCCGCTCGGCGGCGGCGGCGGCGGCACAAAGGGCAGGCGGATGGGATTGAGGGCGGCAAACTGTTCCGTCGCGGAGGACCCCGTCTGGGGTCCTGCGGGCTGGGGCTGTCCACCGTTCGAGGCCGCCACCACGGGGGGCATCAGCATGGGCGGAAAGATCTGCGTGTGCCGCTGGTAGTGGACCTTGAGGTTGCCCTTCGTGGTGAACTTGCTGCCGCAGACGTTGCAGTGGAAGGGCCGCTCGCCGGTGTGCGATCGCAGGTGGATCTGTAGGGCCGAGTAGCTGCCGAAGATCTTGCCGCAGTACTTGCAGCGGTGCTTGAAGATCTCGCCGCGGCTCTGGGCCTCCTTGGAGGCGTACTCCGAGTACTCCTCCTGCATCTGGGCGGCGTGCAGGCTCTGGGAGGCCGAGTCCAGGACCTCCTCGGTGCGCCGCTGTAGCATCTCCAGGCAGTTGGGCTCGTTGGGGGCCGGCGGCGGATCGTGGTTGGTGATGATGCTCGAGGCCAGGCTCGAGCTGATGTCGCACATCAGGTAGTCGGAGCCAGCTCCGGGCTCGGCCTCCGGTGAGGGGTCCTTCTGGGCCTTGATCTGACACCGACTTGGCTCCTTCTCGTTCTCCCTGTCCCTCTCGATCTCCTCCTCTCTCTTTTCAGTCTTTGAACTCTCCTCGCGCCGCAGCTCGTGCTCCTCCAGCTCCCGCATGCCATTGCTGGGGTCTGGTGTGGCCTCCTCCCGCTCCCGCTCCTGATCCTGATCCTGCTCATCCTCCTCCTCGTCGGGCGGCTCCTCCTCGTTGTGGCCCTCCTGCCGGCCCAGGGCCGCTGCCTCGGCCCGCTTCAATTGACTCTGTAGATGCTGGATGAGCTGCAGCTGCATCAGGTGCTGGCGCTGCACGTTGAAGATCGTGGACTGCACCATGGCCAGGTCGGCGGGCCGCTGGCTCCCCGCCGCCACCCCCGCCAGAGCAGTGGCCGCGAACTGGGCCACCGCCACTTTGGTATGTTGTAAAGCTTCCAGGGCCACGTGACCGCTTGTGGGCAGTCGACTGCTGGCCGAGATCACCGACAGATCCAGCGCCTCGTTGCTGTTCTCCGGCTCCGGCGACTCCGGGGCCTCGTCCATCTCCGGCTCCCGATCCGTCTCGGCTTCCGGTTCGGGCTCGGCCTCCGCTTCGGGCTCGGCATCAGGGGCAGCCGCCTCGATCCCGCCATTGTTGTTGCTGTCCGCATCCAGCTCCTTGGCAAGGAGATTCTCCCTCTCCCGCTCCTTGTCCTTGTCCCTGTCCCTATCGCCGCCGGCTGAGCCGTTCCTGGTGCCTGTGCCGCCCCGATAATTGATGCGATTGCGAAATATTGAACACATTATCCTCGCTCGATCGGAAGCGTTCCACCTCCTGATCACGATTGCTGCCGCGATTTCTAGCGCTGCTCATGGACTGGACCCTGCGGAAGACACAAGAGAGAAGAGAGAGGGGAGGAGAGGCATGAGTGCAACGAAATTTACGCACATATTCCCGCCCGATAATATATGGAGTGCGATATATGGTTGGGGGGGCCAGGGAGGGGCACTGGGAGTGGGAGGGGGGAGGTGGGGGTGTCTCGCGCCAGACTTTATGATAAATCTTTTTTTGAATATATGAATAGCGCTGTGTGGCGCAATTTTAGGCTTTCGTTGAATAAATGAACGGCGGAGGGTGAAGGGAGGGCGGAGGGAGGGGGATTAGTCGCGTATAACTTAATATCAGCCTCTGCTCCGATTTATACATCTATATCTGGATATCGCGGTTTTCGGTTTCGGACTATCCGCGGATCTTGTGCCGGATTCCCGGCCCGGCCCGGCCCGGCCCGGCCCCAAACAGTTTTGCATGGCGTAAGATTGGCGTAAGACCGGGGTAATTTATTGATTTATTACTCGGAATCACTCAGCATATCTTTTGGTCTATCTGGTGTATCTGTTCTATCTGGTACATCTGGGCTCATTGAATTTGCCACAAATCTTTCCCAATTATTCCGGTCACAGCTAATTTATCTGATCAGATATCGGCCACTGGTATAACCCCCCACTCAAAGGGAGCCCCACCCCCGGACTAACTGAAAATATCGAGAGTGATATCTATGGTTCCATGGTTCGATATCGATGGTGGCATAGCAAGGGTTCTTTTCTAGGGTCTTAGTTCGAGTTTCATTAAATACATATCTCTAAGATATAATATCTTAAACAATAATATAATCGTACAAATGAGGCAGGGATCAGAAAGAACAGACGAACGTATCAAGCGAGATAACGAAGAAGTGCGTGTGAGCAAGTCGCTACTGTGGCACTGGATCACCTGGTGTAGGTGTGTAAATACATCTTATATCTAACGAAACACTACCGGATTAGCGGGAAATCGTCAAACGGCACCACACGCGCTTCTTCCCGAGCGGCTGCCCCTCGGAGTCCAACAAGTTCAACAACGTGGAGCCGGGGACCGTCGTGGACCGCACCATAGTGCATCCCAACGAGGTGCAGTGGTTCATGGTCAGCCACCAGTCCATCAAGGGCACGGCCAGGCCCACTCGCTACAACGTGATCGCGAACACGGGCCGCCTGGACATCGACCTCCTCCAGCAGATGACCCACAACCTGTGCCACCTGTTTCCCCGCTGCAACCGGGCCGTCTCCTACCCGGCCCCGGCCTACCTGGCCCACCTGGCCGCCACTCGCGGACGACCTTCGATTCCCCCCAACAGGAGTACAAGAAACGGTTGATCATCCCGGCCCTGTCCAGCAAGAACCCAATGTAATTTTATTATCTCTGTGCCAGGTTTCTCTTAGTGTAGGGTTATAAGAAAATTGCAATACTTGGGCGGTGGATAATTATGACTGAATGTAAAGGTTCTATATATAAAGATCATCCAATTCTTGCAGTTTTCCAGTTTATATTCTGAGAAGACTATAGAAAGTGGTGACCGGTTTCGATGTTCAAGGAGGAAGGCTCTAGAATGGTTATCTCCATGGTTATGAGAAGGTTCTTTGGAAGGCAATCTGGACAGTACAGTTTACTCTGAAAAGAACCCAGAGACCTATAAAAAGGAGGCTCCACTCAGTGTTACCCATCCTCACCTTGCCCAGCCTATTTGTTCTTTTTCCGAAAAGCTTGCCAAAGGCTGGAGCCAGTGGGAAAATCGACCGCCATCCGAGTGTTGGACCGACGTCCGCCAGTGATAAAGTGGCGTCCTGCGAGGAAGACCAGCAGACGTGTGTTCAGATACCACCAGCTGTGCAGGAACTTCAGATTCATTTCGGAAACGAAACAAATCCTTGGAATATTTCGAATTTTGAAGGGAACTTGGCCGGGAACTGTGATGGGAAGGGGGGGAAACCCCCTGATCGCCCCAGTAAACTGTTCAACATAGAAACCTGTCTCTATCGCAATCGATTCCCCACAATTTCTGAGTTACACTTTCAACAGGGCCACAAATTCTAGAGGGCATGAAGTTAAGCAGAATATTTCCAAATGCCTGGGAAATACGGGTAGGGGTGGGGGTGGGGGTACGGGTACGGGCATTACGGGCGATTGCTTTATGATTATTTCCCGGCAATTAAGTGAATTTATTGGCAAAGGTAAACACACTCGAATACGAATTCGTGTGTCTCTATCGATTGGCCACACTCGAAATCATCGACGCACAGGCATCGGGCAGAGAGCAGCGAGCATCCAGCGAGCACACTATTTCTATCAATGCCGATGCGAGGCTGGCAATGGGCTCATCCGAAATCAATTTGTTTAATGCAGACAGCGCTTTCCCACAGCCACCGCCACGAAGGAAGGGGGGGTGGGGAGGGGAAGTTAACCCGAAGTTGAGGCCCAGGCAAAAGTGTTAACCAAAAATCAAGTGAGTCGGAGTCCAAGACGAGACCGGCAGCCACAACTTATTCCACTTGAGATGATTTCTTGAGCGATTTACGCACAGCCAAAAACATAAAACTTCCGCAATTGCCGCACACGAAACACGAAAAACTCTTTGGGGTTTTTTGAGAAGTCTGCGTTGTTGTTCTTGGAGTGTTGCCAAGCTCTCATTTCCTTTGTCACTGACGAGAGAAAAACCACCATCTTTCCTGCCAGCAGGTGGTCCAGCGCCAGCCAACTCGAAAGGAACTCTAAATCTTACGGATCTTTCGAATCTTTCGAATCTTTTGGGGCTTCGAAACAACACGGCGTCAATCATTTGGCCGAAACGTGAATTATGCCTAGATATGTAGGTATACACGGCTTGTCTGCAGCGGATATTGATCAAAATTCATTGCAATTTGCTTGATTGATTGATGGTCTACACACACACACACACACATGTACATGTATCCGGGGCCAATTGAATGAATGAACCCGAAGCCGAAACGTAAACAGTCGTGACTGATTGAAGTCTGTTGTTTCAACCGTCGATCGCGAGCACGAGCGAGTGCCACTGAATGGACAGATGGGGCAACACTGGTTCTCCAGGGGTGATTCTACTTGAGCGAGTGTCATCTCTGACAATCTGGGAAGATGAGGGGAATTATTGGAATTTTTGGTAGTACTAAAATCGAATTTTAAAGCAGAAATATCATTACTTTGACTGGAAGTTCTCCCTCTAGCCCAAAAAAAAAACATAAAGAAAGTTTGGGAAATACAAAAAAAAGGTGGAAATTGTTTGAGGCAAATTTATGAGCTTCGCTTAAGCAGGGGGTACTACGAGTACGAGTACTGGTCTGGTCTCCCGGACAATAGGGCCTGGCAGTGTATTGACCATTTTGCATGCGGCATGTCTGATGGGCACGGGGGGGGCACAGCCAATGACGACGACGGGTCTCAGGTCCCAGGTCCCAGGTCCCGGGGCTTACAAAATGTCTGCAAATTTATTAAGCTGAAAAAATTTTATGAGTTGAATTGGTATAATTTTCATATAATTTTTGAGAAAGAAGCGAAATGGAACGCTGCCAGACGGTCAACCAGTTGGGTTTATGGCCAGCGGGGGGGTCTGCGACGGACCTAAAAGGAAGGATGTCGAGGGGTAAGCGCCACACACACACACATGAAATGCAAATGTCTGCGTGTCTGAGGGACAGAATGAATGGCTGGGTTTTTGTGTGTGTGTGTTTGTGGAAGGGAAAGGGCAAGGGGAAGCCAGCACACACACACACAGACAGACGCACAGGGGTCTGCCCTGGCCGGGTCTGGCCGGGTCTGGACTTCTGGCCAGGGACTGGGTCTGGTCTCAGCAGCGGCTTGTAGATGAATTTGTATTGTTTTGCATTTGCTTTTGGGGCGCTACTTTGTTTTTGCCTCTGCTTTCGCTTCGCTTTTTTTTGTTGTGTTGTTTTGTTTTCTGTTTCTTTTCTTTACGTTTTTGTGTTTTTTTTTTTGTTTTGTTCCAAGGATGGTGGGGGAGGGGTCTGTGTGGAGGGCAGGGTTGTTAAGCTGCCATTGCAAACAATTAAAATCATAAGAGACGCACATAAATTATTCATGGCTTAATCTAAAGTGGACAATCTATGCAAAGTACCCTCGCACACACACACACACACACGCGCACACACCTACGTGGTGGATGTATCTGTATCTGCATATATGGTCGAACACTTGTTCGCCCCCTTGATGGCCATTTTTGATATTTTGCCAATCTGCTGCTGCTGCTCTTGCCTTGGCCCTCCTTTCTGCCTTAATTACTCATAAACGAAGGAAATAATTGCATTCAAGTGGCCTTTCCTCATCCCTCATCCTTCTCCCCCTCTCCCTCTCTCTCCCTCTCTCCTTTTGGGGCTCCTCTTTTGTTTCCCTTCCGTATCTGGCAATTAGATGGAACAATGAAATGCTCTGAATTCTGGTAACTCAATTTCGAGGCGAGTCGTCGGCTCTGGAGGAGCTAAAGCCCTGAAAGGATACTTCTTTATTTGTGGATTTGGCTGGCTCTGGGCCTCAGTTATCGAGATGAAAGTGTAATCGATTGATGGGGCTTTGATTGGCACATTAGAATCCATATTGAATGATTTACTGGGGTTAAAGATATTCATATAGCATTTGGCAATAGATATTTGCTTTGGATTGATGATTCATAATCCATTCTATATCGAAATGAAGTGCTTATGATGTGGACTGTTGAACGTTCCTTGGACGATACGTCAAGCTTCTTAGTGTTGTTTTCCTGCCAAAGGCTACAGTTGCCCCAGGCAGATGGAATGCATCATGGAATACAGTAGCGGACAGTGAAATGTGGACAGAAATATGCAAGTTTTGGTTTGTTTTTTAAGAAAAAAGGCCATAAATTAAAGAAACAATATAAAAAACTAACTAAACACATACAAAATTTGAAACCAAACGTCCTATAAGAAGTTTTATAAGAATCCCTAAATTATAATTTTTTTTAAATTTAATTATAATATTTTATTTATTTATAATATTACGGAAAATGCATTATAGGTTCTTAATCCGGAAATATATTTTTTCTGTGATTACATTTAATTCTATGAATATTGAAGAGTATTTTTTGTATATCATCTATGATATATCTATATATCTGTATATCTATGATACCTCCAATAACCTCTAAATACCTCCCTCCAATAAAGTAGATTTTAAAAATTAACTAATGCCTTAAATTGATCTATTATATAGCCAGCTAATTCAGTTTTAGCATATTTGCATAACTAATAAATAAATTAAATTTTAAATTCCATCAAGTTGTTGTTCTATTCATTTCCTCGTTCGCGACAAAGCCCAAAAATTTGTTTTGATGAATATGAATTGAATTTGGTTTATTGGCCGCGCAGAAATAATGCCAATAAAAAGGCAGCTGGCTGGTTCTGGCCAGGTTAGAACGGTTTCGATTGGTTTTGGCGTCTAACTAATAAATTTTCGTAGCAATAAAAATTCAATTTATGCGGTTTATTGAATTAGCGAACGGATCGAAATGAAATGCAGAAATGCAATGCAGAAAACCCGAAAGGGTAGAGGGGAGCTGACAGATAGATAGATAGATAGATAGATATGTATATAGATTGATGCATAGATAGATTCGCATGTGGCCCACATTATAGTAGAATTTGCGGCAAAATATTCACAAAATATGCCGCATGCCATGAGCAGAATAGATACATTTGTATCTATCTATTGTCTATGCCGCACATTTCTGTCATAACATGAAATAAATATTTCACTCGTCCGCTTGGCCCGTGTTTTGGCTTCCTCTGTCTTTCCTTGCCTTTCCCTTCCCTTTTTCTGTATTCGTTATTAAAATGAAAACAAATTTTATATAAAATATAATACGTACAACAAAGAGGGGGAGGGGGGGACAGGCGCGAAAAATGAGAAATAGACTGGCCACAAAATGAAAAGCGCTTCGCATTTTTACAAATGAATTTATTGCCAAGCCAACGAACAGGAAAAGATACAAAGAAACGGCCACTCAAAGATACATTTCGTCGCTTGCATCGCGCGACTCATAAATTAATTAGAACAATAAAACAATAAATGTATTTCAGAGGGAGAATCGTACACTGACAGAAAACGTAACTTGTATCTGTCAGATACAACAGGATTATGAATTAATGGCACGGCTATTCTCTCTTTGTCGCATCTTAAGAGATCTGGTGCTCTTGAGCATTTTCTTTCGGTGCAGCACACACATCTATCTTTGGCTACGGGCTGCAGATACATTTCTTGGCATCTTATTTAGGGCCGGGCATCAATTGTGGCTTGATTAAAATGTTTTTTCCACAGCCCACTCTATGGCTACAATTTCTTCTAGTTCCAGAATGCATCTGCCAGATACTTTGTATCTGTGACACAGTGACTTGACACCTGTCATCTTTTCGTTTAACCTTTCGATGGCCAATCACTCGACACTCGACTACCCATGCCTCCCCCTCTGGACGCACTACCCTTCGCCTTCCCCAGGCCTTTCTTTTAATTTTATTCTTGACATGCCTGCCTGGCTCTTGCTCTTGTTGCTGTGCATCATCTTCTTCTTGCTTGTCATTGCATAACATGCAGACACACGGATACGGATGCACAGATACACGGATACACAGACACTTGTATATGTCATATCCTCCGGCACATTCTCTCGACCCACAGGCCCATGTCAGACACCCTCTCCCTGCCTTGACCCCTGCCCCTGCCCCTGTCCCTGCCCCTGCCCCTGTCCCTGCCCCTGTCCCTGCCCCTGTCCCTGCCCCTGCCCCCGACCCACTCTACATGCCACCTTTGGGGCACAAAGTAGTTGTATTTATGTTAACTTTGACACAAGCTCAACATGCAACTTTTCGGTTGTTCCTCTTGCTGTTGTTGTTGTTGTTGTTTCTGTCTGCCTCTGTTGCAGTTGTGTGTTGCATGTCCTCGCATAAAGTGTCAAAGTTAAATAATCTCTCCCCTGCCCAGTGCCAGCACGGGGTGAGGCAGAAGTGTGTGTGTGTGCGTGTGTGTGTGTGTGTGTGGGCAACCTGAAAAAGTAGCCCCAGGCCCAATTTAGATCTTGTTTAATATGTGCTCCCCAGTTTTGTGGGTTATGCAGGATGGGGCAGCATCCATATGAATGCCAAATGATTGGTTGGAGTGTGTCAAGGAGATCCTCGTAGAGAAATTACATTTTTGCCAGAGATTTTTGAGAGTCACATAGGTGAAGCAGTCGGTCAATGAAGTCATTCGGTAGAACGAACAGAAAATAAACGATTTAAATGATGCATTTTTAAGGAATATAATTTAATTTAATCGGAAATGGGTATTCGAGGGACACTTCTTTAGTAACATGTCCAGAGATGCTTGAAAGCATTTAAATGAGAATGAGAGTACCCATGGGAATATACTAGGGGTATCATAAGGGATATGATACTATATGAAATCTTTTGCAGGACTTAAACTAAAAGAAAACTTTAATTATTTCTTTAGGCAAAAGAATCTTCCCTTTCATGGACTCAAGAGCAAACTATTCCTTATATTCTTGTATATATCTATATCTTATATTCCTGAAGGAACTTATTTTCCCCAATTTATGCTGCAACACCTAATTATTTAGTCACCAAACATGAATTGCTTTGATTTCGAGTATATTTAACAATATAAAATGGGGCTATCAAATATTTACTTAGTTCTTTCACAGTCAACTGAACATTTAAGAACAAAGAAGGGTATCTTTAAGCTTGAACAGTCACCAGAAGGCACATTCTAATATTCCAATCTAAAGCATAGATATTCTTTATAGTTCATGTATTTTTAAAGGTTTTCCCCTTAGGCAATCAATTAAAGATGCTTCAATACTTAGAAATTTCAAGTCTCTCAATAGAACATCTGTGTATATTTTAGAGCTTCAGAAGCTGGCAAATGGTTTACCTCAACATGGAATACATTCTCAATGAACATTGTCATAAGCTCTTTTATTTCTATATTTAAGTTCAAAGAACATGAAACTTTAGATAGTTTTTGGTAGTAAACATACTTAAAGTAAGTTTAAATTGCTGTATTTAAGTATTTTATTTTAAATTAAAGTATTGCCAAAATATGCATGATAAACTTGGAATTATTTAAAAGACTTCTCAAAGGAATTCCCTGCTTAAACACGGACTATTAGACTATGAATGCTTAGACCTATTAACTTTAATGAATTTTGATTAAAGGCTTTAATTAGTTTCTTGGACTATAAAATTGTTATCTATATTTCTATAGATACACTCTTAAATAATTCTATTTTTAGGCCCCTCTCTTTATCTCCACTCACCTTTGCTGGGGGATTTGACTCCTTCTTCCTTGAAGGATTCCGGGCTATCCGCTTTGGGGGTTCATCTCTGGAAAGTATCTCCTTTTGTCGTATGTATCTTGCCGACGGCAATCGCAAAGATGATGCGATGTTTTCACACAGGATTTATAAGTATTCAAAAAATTGTTGTTTTAATACGAAAATCAAGTTTATTGCACATTTTGTTAGCCCTCTCTCTCTCTTGATCTCTCTCTTGCTTTGTTTTTTTCTTTTCTACTTCTTCGCTCAGCTCTGCTCCTCTGGTTTCCTTTGAGTTACTTTCGTTGTTGCTTTTGCATTTTGATGTGAATTTTATGATTAATTAAACACGCGCGACCGCAAAAAGCGACTCCGTCTCCGTTTCCGAGTGCGGCCCCGGACCCGTTCCCGCTCTGCCCACGCCCCTGCCCGCACACACACATGCCCCCCGCCCCCACACACGCACACGCACACGCACACGTACACGTACACGACGTACCGTACGCACACACAGGAAGGAGGCTGAAATATGCGTAAGCAGCGACGTAGCGACTGCGACAGCGGCGGCGACTGACGAGACGACGGCGGTGATAAAAACACACACACGGGGCGGCAGGCACACCGTGTTAACCGTTAACGGTTAACTGTTTTTTTGGGTCTGAATAGAATTTGTGGCCAAGGAGCTGCCAACTGGTCGCTGGTAGTGCCAACTGGCTTTTGGGGCTGGCTGAACGTCGACTGAACGCGGGCGGGCGCCACTGGAGAGCCGCTCTGGCGGCCAAAAGGTAACGGTAACAACGGCAACGGAGAGGCAGAACCAGAGCCAGGCGACGTCGACGTCAGAATGTCCTTAACGGTGGCACCACGGCCGCAGCAGCGTCAAGCAGCAAGCAGCAGCAGCAGAGGCGCGCACTTGCGATTACGACGACGACGACGACGACGACGATGGCGATGGCGATGACGACGACGGACCACGGACGACGGCGCGCAGTGTCCTGCGAGTGCGAGCTGGAGCGAAGTGGTCCCCACGATGGCTGCGTTCGCACGCAGGAGCCGGGCGACGGCGATGGGGCATTCATGCGATTCCGATTCGGTGGCGGCGCCGCATTCACAGTGCGAAAGCTTCGCGCCACGAATGCCGTCACACAGAGAGAGGCACAGCGCGCGCGAGAGAGAGAGAGAGCAACGGCGGGTATCTGCTGGTGGCAAGAGAGCGTACAGAACCCCTTAACAGTTGGGGAAATGCCGTATAAGACTTTTATGTTAACGCTGATAACAGAGCTAACAGAGCTGTTACATGGTAGAGGGTCTATAGCTGTGCTCTTCTCACTCACGCCAGGCAGCCATTTATGGGGAGTGTTTTGGGAGAGCCATAAATCACTCTCTCTCTCTGTCGCTCTATGCGAGTGGCTGTGTGTGTGTGTGCGAGCTCTCTTTTAAGGGCCCAACACCAACTCGGCCTCTCGCTGTCTGCAGTCGGCAGAGGATGGGCAGGGGAGGCACAAAACAAGAAAAAAATCAAACGGAAAATCGTCTTCGGGTCGCTTTTTTTATCTCTGTTGCGCAGCGAGCAGCGAGCGACGTATAAATAAAACGCATCGGAAATTATGACAACTTTAGGCGGAGCATAGGATGTCGGCGTCGTCGTCGGCGTCGGCTTCGGCGGCGGCGTTGGGCTCTTCCCTTTTTTTTCGTTGGCTCAAGCTCAATCATATTTCCTTTATGTGCGCCCCGTCCCTCTCTAACTCTTTATGTGTGCTGTGTCTGCGCTCTTTCTATGTATGCCGCTCTGCGAGAGTGAAGAGAGGGCTTCTTTTATTTATCCATATTTCCTTTATGTTAGCTTTTGATGCTCCTTCTTGTTTTTCGTCTCTCTGCTTCTTAGACGCTGATTGTCCTTTTTTTTCGTGGGCAGGGATTCCTTGAGCAGCTGAAATGCCGACGGGAAATGAATATCAAACATTTTGTGGATAAAAGAGTAGGATTTTTCCTGGTAAAATGGAGGATAATAGGGATAGTATTAGATGTTCTTTGTAATAAGGTTACTAGGGGTACTAATGGATATTCTTTGTAAAAAAATTATTATTCTTTTGTGTTTATACATGAAAATTGTATTATAATCATTTACAAGACATTTTTGAAATGTGTTTTAATTATTTCTTTAAATATGTAGCTTAAAGACTTAAATCTTAATAAAAAAAAAGCTATTCCAGTGAAAATTTGAAGTGTGGATGTAATTATTTATGGGCTTAACAAATTCAAAGAATTTTTGCAGTACTCAAGTATTTTCCTTAAATACAAAAAATACTAAAAATATCATTTAAAAAGAATAAAAGTACAAAATATTGCCTTGAATTCTGAAATGTGTAATTTCTTTTCGGTTTAATTTTAATAGAAATTACAAAAATCAGTATAATTATTCCAATTTCTTGAAATTTAATTAGAAATTAAAACCGACAAATGACTAAAATGACTAAAAATAAAGTCTTTTGGTCTTTTTTAGATATGTAGATAGAAAAAGGATCCAAATCAATATTCAAATAAACATTTACATTGGCATTTATGTATATTCCTCGGATCCCAGTGACACCCCCTTCTTTGTGTGATCCCTCCTCCGATTAGCCCGATCTAATACCATATTCCCAAAAAAGAGAAGAAAATCCCTCGCTCTAGCCATGAATAATGCATGCGATTGTCACGACTGCCGCCAATTGCATTTCATTTGATTTGATTTGATTTCAGTTGGATTCATTTCGACTGAATGCATCACGTACGGGTTGTATCTATGCATGTGCAAGTACATGTATGTATCTGCGTATCTGCGTATCTGCATGCCAGGCCAGGCCAGGCCAACCCTCTCGATGCAGAGGAGGAACATCTGCTTATGAATTACTGACAAAACACACATTTCACTGGCAACATTCAAAATGGTTGATATAAAAAATGAATTCAAAAATGAGACGGGCAAACGCTGTTGTGGGCTGTTTTTAACCCTCCAGGAACATCCCTACTTGGAAATATATAAAAAATAATAACTAACCCTCTCGCTGTAGCTCCTCTCGCGGACTCAACTCTCTTTGTTGGAATTTTATATGCGAGAAAGCCCCTAAAATGAAGTCAGAGATCCACAAAGTCTAAGAAGAAAATGTTCTCTATCTCCATATCATTTATCATCGAAGAAGATCCCAAAGATCTTTTTTCTCCCAGACCATCATGGCGGTTCCTCAACACAAAAAATTGTTCAGAGCGAGACGGCAAGTGGCATTACTATGCAAATCATTTTTGGGGGGCGCGGAAGAGAGAGACAAAAAGAGAGAGGGAGACCCTAAAAACTGGTTTTCTTTCCAACAATTTTTGATGACGCCGATTTGTCTCCACAATCATAAAAATCGTTCAGGGAAACGAAAAAGAGCGAACGAGAAAAACAAATCAAAGAAAATCTCCGACCAGAACATAATTAAATTTTTTGAATAAATTATTACAAAACACATTTTGAGCGGTAAATGCGACAAATATACAAACGTTTGACCCCTCGACCTCCGCCAGATACCAAAGGTCTTTCGAACATCTTTTATAATTTTCCAAACATTTTTCTTTTTATTGATAAGAAAACGTGAGAAGGTTAAGGTTAGCAGTCGGTGGGATCTGAAGAGTGGAATATGTGCTTGGGAAATATTATTTCCTATAAGAAAGAGTATTCCAAGGGTTAGCCTGGAGTATCGGTAGTGCCTGGAATATTCCACTCCTTAAGGGGTTTTTGTATTAAAATCGATTTAAGGCTTGAATTTGGTACTTTTAAATGTAAACAGATTGATGGTTAGATAGATGGATAGATAGATACATTTTGTAGTCACGTCTGTGCTGGCCAAGTGTCTAATTGCCTGGCTCATTAGGCATATATGTATATTCCCCAGTGCCCCACGGCCGGAGGGGCCCCTCCAATAAAATGTGAAATGCACGTCGCTCATTCGATCAAGATCGTTGGCCAGTCTTTAATATATTATATATCACGTGTGACTGGCAACGAAATAAAATAAATTCAAATTGAAATTAAAACTCTTTTGGCTGGCCATTAAAATTAAGTACTTGCGAGGGTACCTCCTCCAGCGAGGGTCTCCGCAAAGGTTCTACGGGTCTATGGGAGAGTGTGGGCCGAATGGGTTTTTGATTTGTTCCGAGTGATTTATGTTAACGATGACACCTGCCGGGGGGGAATCGATACTCGGTGAGGCTTTTGGTCCAAGGTTTATTCGGTTTTCTGGTCAGTTGGTTTTCCTTTGATTCGTTTTGTATTTCTTCGACTGGTTTCAAAATATATCAAATATCATGTGTTTTTCTTTATTTTTATGTGTGTGTTTTTCTTTTGATTGCGACATATTTTCAAGCATTTTCTTTGTTTTTTCTTGTAGTTTAGAAAATATATAAAATATATTTTTCAGAGCAATTTAATTTGCCCGAAAAACAGACACGACACAAGATACTGGCAAAAACATTTAAGAGTTGACCTTGTCGGGGGGTTGGCTCTGGCTCTGGCTCCAGTTCTGGCTCTGGCTCTGGCTCTTTGGGCCATTTACCCGATTGCGTTTAATCGATTTCTTTGTAAACTGAAAACCAATGTCAACAGCCTCGCAAAACACACAGACGACACAGCAAAACACAACACACAAATAAACGGAATCCAGGCAAAGGAAAGGCGGCTAAGGAGCCGAGGAAATTTGCTTCTCGAGCGGCAAAACATTTACACACTTAAACGAGGCAAAAGAATTTCCCTGTGGGGGGTGGTGGGGGTGTGTATTCCATGTATCGAAAAGAAAACTAAGAAATTGTAGTGCAAAGAGAGAGAGAGAGGGAGAGGGAGAGAGAGAGTGGCCGCCCTTGGGGCAACTTTGTCGCGTAGGTAAATATACATTCCCTCTGAGAGAGAGAGAGAGCGCCACGGAATGTATCTGTTGGATACACTTTGCCTGCCAGGGCCATTTCCTCTGCCATTTTAAAGTGTTTTCCCATCGATTTTTTCCATCTGGGGGCCGTTCTTTGATTCATAATTCAACTTTTCAACAATTAACACGCCCTCACCGCCCCCAGCCCTCCACTGAATCATCAGCATTAATGCCAAATTTATGTGGCGTTGCATTCTCTCCTAACGAAAATGGAATTCATAAAATAAACCAACATAAAACAGAGGCTGTGGGGATCGCTTGGCTCGTGGCAGCCACATGTTCGTCTGCGACTCCGCCCTGAAGGGGGGCACAGATGGCTAGAACTAGAGGAATTTCTGGTATAAATCATACATGAATCATATACTGTATTTTATTGGGTGTCCAGCGGATATGTAATTGCTTTTCCGAGAGAATTTCCCTCGAAAGTGCTGTTGTTTC